TAGCGATGCCCTTGTTCCTAGTAGTAAGGCTGTCAAGATGCGGGGGGTAAATGTTAGACATGAGAGGTTTGAGACCTGCGACCTCTTTCATCGCGCTGCGCCTCTTACTGTGACGTCGTCGACTCGACAAAATTTCAATAGGCCGCGAGAGACAGGTGACAGGTCTACAATGTGCACATTTAAACTTATACATATATGATAATTAATTGTGATAATTGTGTAATATGTATTCTTGACGTTCTTGGGCCGGGATGTTGGACTATTGGGTATGCTTCGGGGTATGCTTCGCCTAAGTCGAACCCTACATTTGCGGCGGCATTTATTTGGTACTAGACTCAAAAACTTTGGTAGACAATCACGCTATCTCATTTAGACTACCTTAGTGTCATCAAGCAAGAGTATCTCGTTTATGTGGGGGCCCTATCTCGTTCACAAGCGAATACTGATGATAGACGAGCAAATATAGCATGTCGTAGACTACTTTACTGTAGTAAAGTCTAAATAAAAGTGGCTGCTCACATAAACTGGACACCATAAAAAAGGGCAAACTCATACGCAGATTTCACAGCAAAGAAAGCCATAATTATTTGAAAAGCTATATTATATATAATACATAGAATAGAGTCATCTACTCGTGCAGCCTCCCTGATACGTGCCGAAGACATTGCAATGCCCTAAGTTGGCAGCAAGATGCAGCAAGTATGTTCAGTAACTTAAGAAGTCACGTCCTCGAACTCATCAAGAATTGCTTGCAACTCATGGGATATTGTCTTTGCTTGCTCTCGCAGCACCTGCCAAGGAGGATCTTTGAGATCTTTGAAGGCCGCTTGCCTAACGTGCCATGCGTGCCTGGGTCTCTGCCTCCTTCCGCTGCTGCTTTTCCCACTTCGGATCATCCAATGTGACCACCACCACATCACTCCACTCTCCCCAGCCTTGGAATACATGGTCCAAGAGATTCCTTTTGGCCTTCATAGGGATATCAGTGATATCATTGATCCATGGTTTCCATTGTTTGAGCTCTGGACCTATGCTGTTTCGAGCTCTGACCATGAACTCGTAAGAGCCAACAGGGAATGGTCCCAGTGAAACCTGAGCACGGTTGCATGAGCGTTCCTAATCCTACCTGCGCGGCAGTGGCACGCAGCCTACATTGATTAAACATCATCAAGTTAATACATATTCCACCATGCTCAATAATGCTCGTCTTCATCTCTTTTCAACTTGAGACTTCTGCACTGCTTTCCCAACCATGGTAGACCTCGTCCCATGCCTCTGAACTTTTGCCGATGGCCTCTAAGGAGTGGCAATGAAAAAACGAGTTAGTCACCAAACGAGGTTTGATACAGCTTGGAGTCAAGTGAGGTCATAAGAAAAATCACAAAACAAATCAAAACAACAGTGGACTTGCTCAACATTGTTCACCTGCACCCGCAGTTCGTACTCAATGCGCTCAGCAGATGCACACGCCATCTTGCATGTCCATTCAATGTCAATCCAGCACCTTTGCAAGTGAGAATCATCAATATTGAACCATTGACAACAATTAACTCATGTTAGTTGTGCATGCTTTTTCCGGGAGAACCCACTGCTCCAAGCGTTCAGAGAACCGCTGTGCTGTCACAACTGGAGCCTGACAAGGTTACATCATGTTACTGTACATCTATGCACCAAAGACCGCCAAGGCATGCCTTGAATCAAGTGCCAAGGGTGAACTTGCTGCAAACTAGCCTTGCATTTGTTTGGAGTGCCCAAAATCAAAGCTTTGATCTTGTCAGGCTTCTCCCACCTCAATTCGCTTCAAGGCCCAACTGTGACAGCAATAGTCACAGGAGGTAAAGCAACTATCATTATCACAAACAAAACTCGAGGCCTTATGACAGCTCTCAAACTTGCGAAATATTTTTGCAACCATGATATCAAATTCGACTGTGGAGCGCAGATGCTGGCTTGCCATTGAAATGAAAAGCTATTGGAATTCTCAAAGCTTACTCGCGTGACGCAATACGTACATATATAATCATATATACCTGAGAACGGAGGGACGAAAGCCACCCCTTCAAGCAGACCGCTAACATAGTCTTTCAATCAACGTGTCTTCTTTACAGCTACTTGGGGAGACCTAGCTAGATCCCAGGAGATGGCACTCCCAAAACCGTTACAAATCGATCAACCAGGCACCACCACTGGACCACACCGTCTAACAAACCACAAACATAGCCTTTCAACGTATTTTCTGTACAGCTACTTGGGGAGACTCGGCTAGATCCCAAAAGATAGCACTCCTGTGCTGGTGTTTGTTTTATCTTCCCCAAATCCAGGCAGTGGCACTGGTACTATGTTCGCTGGCTTGACCTTGGGAGCTGCAAAATCAAGAGAAATGGCCAAGCATAGGATGAGTGGACTGAGCGATTGATCACTCGCCTAGGTTTCTCCTTCTCCTAGACTACCGCAAGTTACCACAGTCTAGGACGTCATGTTGGGGGTGCACCTTTTTTAGTGTGAAAAGGGTGCAAAGCCGAAAACGAACAGAACAGGGGACCATGGTAGTACATTCTTTTAAAATCACGTTGTCTTATTTTCTGCAAGGCACTCAACCACAATCAGCATAATATCTGAATCTCTGCCCTGCACTGCAGTCATGAACCACACAATCATCCTATCTGAATTTCCTATCATATCTGAATTTCTGCGCGGCACTACAGTCATGAACCACACAATCATCATATCACAATCCGTGGCACTGCTGTCAAAAGCCACAATCCACAAAATCCGAAACTATTAACCCAATAGTCTTTGCTGAACATCCATTGGGTTGGAGTCTTTTGATTTTTTGGATTTAGGGACTGTGGTCGCCTATATATACATATTGTATATACTGCTATCTTGTACTACTTTCTTATTTGAGTCTTAATGTCACTGTTGGCTGTTACTTGTTGGGAGGTGTTTGTGCTAAGAAGCCTTCAGCATGGCTATTCCCTTCGCATTTGCTGTTTGTTAATGACCCAATAGCCTTTGCTGCACATATTTCCAGGCTCTAGCATGGCTATTCAAAATGCATTTGCTGTCTGTGTGACATAGTCACGAACAAAAGAGTCAATGTGTCAGGATCTGCCCCTTAGACATTGATGTGTTTTCTGTGTTTTGCTAAAGAAGGCTACAGTGGTCATTAACCCAAATTAAAAGCCGTGCAATTACTGCGGTTTTGGCCTGACATAGAATATGAATAAATAAACGAAACATAGCAACAAATTTGACAGCGCAAGGGTTAACAAAGAATTTTATTTGCAATACTTTCAATTGATATTGTGAAGTAGTGTGTGGCAAACGAATCAAAGACAACGGACATACTATATATATACGTAATGACCCTGCAGGCCTGACAGAACAGAAGAGCAGTTAAACATGTGGTATGCTAAATTAAACCCTTTACCGTCAAGAACGATCTTAAATAGAGATTTGTCCTTTTTTGATCATTTATCCAAAGATACACACTAAACATAAGGACCTATAACTTGAAAGAAACCTGGAATCAACAAATGCAAACACACCAAATTTAAAACATGTTGTTCGATGTACATGGTCACAGGGTTATTTGATGAAGATTCTTTGGAAGTTGTATTTTTGGATCTTAAACCAAGATACAAATTTCTAGTTTGCAAGTTACTATATACTAAAATACATTAATCCTAACATCACTACACATAGAACATGTTGATGTTATATTAGAACAACGTTGTAAAATTATCAACATGTATTGAATGTTCAGTTCTTGTATATATGAACTACAGTATAAATACTGCTTGTATATACCTGTCTCACTTGCTTTACTTTACCAGAGCAAGAACACATTGTTAAAACATTTTTACATGATACACATATTCGTAGACCACCAATATACTAAACATGAAACTGCAAAACATTACTATTCACCAGTTGAGCTGCTTCATTGACATTTCTATCGCGTGAAACAAGGTAGAAGCATATGAAACACAAGAAAAAGGAGTACACTCACAGCGCCCTGCACTTTCAACTTATTTGAAGCATAGTACATCAACATATCATAAATATATTGTCATATAGGTCCGTTGATAGACGATTGCAAAATACAACAACAGGTATTATACAATATCAAATACAGAAAATATGGTAAATGAATTCGTAAATATTCGTAATCATTGCAAAATGTAATCAGGTAGAAGCATATGAGCAGCGAGAAAAAAGTGCACTACCACAGTCTCCAGCTCTCAAAACGAAAGGGCACCCCCTAGAACGGTGAATGTCCAAGGGGGTCGGAAGTGAGACTCTCTATTTGTACAAGAGCGTGGGACTCAACCAACTAAAACGTGGGCAGTCCACAAGTCTACGACCCATCAGCCACATTCTTTAACTCATACATCGCCACGACGAGCGACAGGCTGCTGTCCGCTTATAAATGGTGCCCCGCCACTTCGTGATGTAAATGATATACTTTTCAACCTTTTTGGCATCACTCGCATCACCAAGGCCCTTATAACATGCATTTTGACTACATTTTGCCAACCGCTATTTTTTAGCTCTTCCCTGGAGGAGTGGGAGGCTTGCTTGTTTCGAGCCCTCAGAAGTGCTCAGGTCTTCACGTTTCCTCATTTTGCCTTTCTTGGAGCTTCTTCTTGGCCCTCTCAACCTGCTAACGGCACTCCACACTGAAGCGCCATTTGATGGCGACAAATGGTGACAAGTCTCAGAAATCTTGCAAAACTTGGAGCTCACATGTTCTCGAGGCGGTTGTCCAGTTTCTTCTTCTCTCTTGTCATCTTTCTTCACCTTGAGAAAGCTATCACATGCATATCACAATAAGCTAACTTCTCCAGAGTAACACACTGTTTGTCCCACACACACACACACGCACCTTGGAAACTATCTTTGTGTACCAACTCAGGATGTGACCTTTTTCTGTGGAGCTTCCATGTCGTACATTGCCTTTTCAACAAGCCGTGCTTCTTCAGCTTCTCCACGTTGCCTCGCTGAGTGACGCAAACTCGTGACATGAGATCAGCTGGCAAAATCTTCCCCAGCTGACGAGCTACTGCAACCATTCCACATGATTGGCCATCTCCAAGTACTTGTCCCGTTCCTGCGATCAGCATACCACCGATTCTAACACACAAGCCTTGCACCCCTCGGCCCCCAACTATCGCATGGGCAAGCTATGGAGATGTCATGTACTATGTCAGGACGAGGATCCCTACCAATGAATGCTGGTTGGAGCAATAGACTGAACTCTGAATCTCAAACAAGTTGTGAGGCACACACTCACCGAATCTCGATGTTCCTCTTTGGTGGACAGGACATCGTATGCCTTTGTGATGCGCTCGTAGAACTTGTAATCCTTTCATCTCTTCGAACTGCACGAAACATATGGGCAGAAGGAGTAAAAGGAGTGCTACGAAGGATGTAGATTCCAAGTAGTTGAGGCTTTGCCAAACGCATGCGACCAGTTCAGTTCCAACACAAATATGTATCTTGTAGCACAAGCCAGCAGGAGCGAAATAATGTAAATATTAGTTTCAGAAATGCTGGCTGGCTGAGCACAGAGAAGTAGCAGGTTGCTTTGTTGCCTGAAAACCAATAGCAACCAGATTTGGTCACTGGTTCAGCACTGTGGTACTTATTCTGCCTTAAACATGCGGTAGTTGAAGAATCCATCCCAACCACAAAATGTGACAAACAACAATTGGATGTACTGTATCCTTTCGATTCTTTCTATAACAGGATTCCATTGCGTCGGAAGCGCTGGCAAGACCGTGTTGTGATTGTTGCGCTAGCAGCGGTGGGGGTGGGGGTTCTGGTTGTCCTTGGTGCAAGAAAAATTATTGATGTCAACCCATTAACTGCGGCAATTTACGGGCAGCAATGGTATTGAATAAAGGAAACGAACAAAGATTATATATAGATGCCGGGTGTGTGAAGGGCGCATGTTCTCTTTGCATTCTTGAGCTTGTCATACACGCAAAAAACAAGCAAATGCCCCAACGCAGTTTAGATGTAACCGAAACAAGGCAATGCGTAACGCGGGTTCCAAAAGAATGCAATGAGATGGAGAGAAGCAAGATCAAAGTAAACAACATAAACGGATTTGTGCGAGAAGAGCGAATGACTGCAAATAGTGTGCAAAAAACAGCAAAAACATGATGAGAGGGGTATGAGAATTTAAGATAGTTAAGGAGAGAAGGATACCTGGCCGTGCCTAGCGTAAGCAGAAATTGCGGGGTCAAACAAAGCAAACTTACATAATCAAACAATGATAGGCAAGAAGCAATGGAGTGAGGAGCATGCAATCTTAGCAAAATGGAGCATACACCATAAATGAACACCCAAATAGAAGCACAAAGAAGCAAGTAAAATAACATCACACATTCCACCAGCAGGGTGAGGCAAGTCTTTTCCTAGGTCAAAAGCAAACATCCTCTTGTGAGCCTATATACTGGATTCTTCCGGATATCAGCTTCCAGGAAATACAACATAGCTTGGCTTGGCTAAACATTTTCACTAGAGCAAGATGTCAGTCGCTTCCAAATTCCTCGTCAGTAGGCTGTCTGTCGTTGATCTTGTCAGGATGGTACTTCAGCCTGCCCGTGAACTTAAGAAATTGGCAATCAGGATCCTACCACCCTTTAATTGCACCCCAACAGCAAAGGGTGCTCAAGGTTCCCCAAACATACTCTTTTTGAATCAACCCTCGCTTGGCAACTGGTTCGACCCCCAACACCTCACCAGCCCAAGAACCTGGCCCAACCGAAGGTCACAAAACCGCAAAACGATGCAGTAAATCCAGTTGTAAACAAACTGTAAACTCATCCCACTGACCAGCCGATCTGCATGCAGTCAAGAATTCAAACCATTGAGAATCCAAATGATGCGCACATGTCTAGAACTAGAACTGCACCACCTGCAGGGTTCACAAACACTTCGAGTCCACTGCGCGGCCACCATCCTCTCCACTCCGTCAAAAGTGATTTTACGCAACCTTTATCTGACTGAAACAGGTCCATGCAAGTACCATGGAATTTGCCAAAGCCTCAAATCTCTCATCTTCTTCCGAAGTAGCCACAAGTAGTCCTTTTCAAAAGCAGGGCGCAGTAGAAATTTAAAGAGTGCTCCCTTTTCCAGGGGCGCTCCTCTTCTGCGAAGTCCATCTTCTTCAAGGCTTCTTCAATGTGTTGATCTCTCTCCTGCAGTGACAACTACCTAAACGCCGGGCCATGTCGACAGCTCTAAACAATGACGTGAGTTCCTGGATCTTCCTCCGAAGCACGTCAATCCGGATCTGGTAGTACCTATCAGGTTTCCTGCATGTCTCGAATACAGTATATGTATATGTTGTACACATACACACATTTAAACCTTTATTTACTATTTATATATATATATTATATACATGGCAATGTAAACCCTCCGAATCAACCCATTCAGCGGCCTAGTTTGTTCGCACTGGTTTGAACACGGATGCATGTCAACACAGTAGGGCTGGCACTTGCTTGACAAGTACTCTGGCAACTTGTCTCCGTCACCTTGTCAGCTCAAGACTAAAAGCACAAACAATATTACCGAACAACCCTTTACGATCTTTTATGAAGCCTGGGAACAGCTTTGTGCTTTGCGTTCGAAGTTGCAACAGGACGTGCTGTGCCTCTCCAACTCGCTTGGAGTACCTCCCGGCTTTCCGCGACTTTTTTGGCCAACTTCTCAGCCTCCTCGCAGTGTCAGTTCTTATTGATCTACTGTTCTTTGGACTGCTGTATGATGGTATGTGCATCATGCAAACAAACATTTGTCTTTCTTGCCCTCAAAGTGTATAGAAGACGCTAGGTCCCTTTGCCTTTCCTGATGTTATATAGTGCATACCGAAGCTTCCTAGTCTTGCGTATGCGCTGCACCCTCCACCTTGTAGTACTCCGCCTTCCTCTCTTCTTCTGCTACCTTGGCTTTCACCTGGCAAGCTATTGCAGCAACTTGAAGCCGCAACATCCCACGTATAAGGCGAGAAGAGTGAGAGTTGCATGGGTTTACACTGAACAAAAGTGACAGCCAACATCTCACCAATATATGATAGAGGTGAAAACTTGGTTAGTGTGCTTTGTCTTATGCGATGGTTTGGCTAAGCCATGTTTGGAACTCACAAAATAGAATGCAAGTACAATTAAATCATTGAAGCTGCATTTTAAACAATGGGGACGCAGCTGGCTGCTTCTTGGTTACAGGATGTGCAAAGAGCACAAATCCTTCTTTACATCGTGAGTCTCATTCAGTATCTACTAGACTTCGTGATTGCATACAAACACACATCCACGTAATTAAAAAACTATTTGAGGGATTGATTTAAACAAATTGAAAATCCATCAGCTGCTTGGGTCGGGGCCTCAGTCCAATGGTCACATGAGGTCCCTGTCTGCATGGGCAGCGGTGCGGGCAGGTGGGCGAAGGGCTTGCGCGCGTGTGTGGGTGTGTGCGTCTTACAAACGCATCACATACATGTTTGTTGGGAAAGCACAGTAGAATTTGTGATAAAATGCACCGACCCTCCACGCACACCCCTCAACTCCGTGCATGGCCTCCCGGTCCACTATCTTCAAAGGCTCGTCCTGTTCGTCTCGCCTGTCACAGCAGCTTGCAAAATAGTGAAAGCCAATTAAATTAATAGCTTTTTGAGGCACCTGTTACTAGTAGCGTGGCACTTGTTCCTAGTAGCCTGTTCTTGGTTTGCTTAACAAATGCAGAATTGAAACGTCAACCTTCGCTTTGCAAGCTTGCGCGCATCAGTCTTCGATTCTTCCTGAGGCAATCTAAGCAAACACATGCAAGCTTCTCCTACCTACCACTTCGCACGTATTCTTTTCATGGACTGTATTATCACACATCCCACCTTGTCTTCTCGCGGTTCAGCCTTCAACTCCTTCAAGTCCCAAATGAAGTTATCTGCTAGTGAAGGTTGTGACTGTATGACTCGGCACTGCCTTCAGGATGTGCTGTTTCGCGTTCTCCAGCTCTCTTTCTCCTCGAAATTCCTGCAGCTGAAAATTGTCGCACATCTCACAAACAGCCTAATGCACACCCATTATCATTATCCTTCAGCTTACAGTTGCGGGACAGCAAAATGTCAATGGTGCGGCAAAGTTTGGAATAGACCTGAGCAGCAGGTCAAAAGCCTGACAGTCTTAGTCTTTGCTTGCTTCAATTGCTAAAACAAATATTGAAGTTCTTGAAGTAAGCCACCAATATTCATAATGATTCAGAACTGAATCATGAACATGGTAGACTCGATGGAACAGGAAGTCGTTGAAGGCTGCGCTTCGGTCCGATGACTAGAATACTACTAATACTACTAACTACTAGAATACAGAATATACAACGGACAGTCGGACAGTGGTAGCGATCTACATTTCTGGGCTGGAATTTGAATCTACAAGGGAACTATGCAAATAAAATTGTTTTTGCCTCCGGGTTGGAAACCGAACGTGTAGTCGTGCAAATTTTTACAACCGATATACTTTGCACTTTTCCGACCCGGTGCCCATGGAGGTCAATGTTATGTAGACTATGATGATGGTGATGATGATGATATCCCCCTGGGAATAACCGGGGGGGGTTGAGAACGCCATTCTAGTGATAAATTGCTGAACCAACCTCTGGGAGCAAAATGCCCCACTATAGAATCTAGCTTTCAACCCTTGTAGTGTACAGCATAGTTTCTCTATAGAATAAAGGGGGTCACCCTTGAAGGCACTAATGTAACAGAATCGTAGGCTCAAAATCTAAATTATCTGATTGAAACAGCCAGGGTTGGTTCTCATTCTATAGACAAGTGGGAGAAACAGCCAGGGGCGGTCCTCATTCTATAGACAAGTGGGTGTCACATCAAGGCTGACATATTATTTTAGAGGAAAATTAGGTAGCAATGGCAAGAGAGGTTAGTATTCTATTTTATAGAAACATGATTGAACATTGCAAGGTTGAATTTCATTTTAAAACAAGATTGGACAGAAAATGACAATCCAAAAACAAGATATGTCTAAAGAGGTTGATATTCATTTTATAAGGACAGGGTTGGACACTCACAGGATGCTTTTTTCATTTTAGAAAGGTGAGCTGAATGTTGAACAAAAAATCATTTTATAGTGGGCCAATATTCACCGGTTATTCCACAGGAATTGTGGGAATGCGTGCGCCAGATTACACAAGAATGCGCCGGATATTTCGTGAAATCAGCAGGTCACAGCAGCATCTTTTTTCCTCCCCTGCAGATTGCAATCGGTCTGATTGCAAGTCCCCTTGATTGATGCTACCAAGATCATCCAAGATTCTGATACAACTATTTTACTTCTTCCTTGGAATTGACAGAGACTGTTCAATGTGGCTTCTTGTGGTGGCCACTTGTGTCAGACAGCGCCCAGGACCACTATAAAATGAAAAACCAACTCCTTTTGGAGCCAGAGGTGGTCAAGTACCTTTTTGGGTGGGGAATGCCTCTGGGGACCATTCTAGAACCCACTGCCACTTGGAGAACTTCTTCCTTGGAATTGGCAGAAACTGTTCAATGTGGCTTCTTGCGGTGGCCCAGAGCACCTAGGACCACTATCAAATGAAAAACCAAGGTCTTTTCAAGCCAGAGGTGGTAAAGTACCTTTCAGGCGCTGAAAGACCCTGGTGAACATTCTAGAAACCAATGCCACTTGGAGACCCCTGCCTTGGAATTGATGAAGCTATTCAAGGTGGCTTCTGGTAGTGGCCACCTGTGCCAGGCCCACAGCACCCAGGCCACTATAAAATGAAAAACCAACCTGTTTTTGGGGCCAGAGCTGGTCAAGCACCTTTCTGGTGGGGCAAGCATCTGAGGAACATTCCAGAAACCACTGCCACTTGGAGACCTTCACAAGAAGCCACATTGAACAGTCTCTGTCAATTCCAAGGAAGCCACATTGAACAGTCTCTGTCAATTCCAAGGAAGAAGGTCTCCAAGTGGCAGTGGTTTCTGGATTGTTCCCCAGAGGCATTCCCCACCGAAAAGGTACTTGACCACCTCTGTCCCCAAAATAAGTTGCCTGGGTGCTGTGGGCCTGGCACAGGTGGGCCACTACAAGAAGCCACCTTGAATAGTTTCATCAATTCCAAGGCAGGGGTCTCCAAGTGGCGTTGATTTCTAGAATGTTCCTCACGGTATTTCCTCACCTGAAAGGTACTTTACCACCTCTAGCTTGAAAAGAGCTTGGTTTTTCATTTTATAGTGGTCCTGGGCGCTGTGGGCCTGACACAAGTGGCCACCGCAAGAAGCCACATTGAACAGCCTCTGTCAATTCCAAGGAAGAAGTTCTCCAAGTCGCAGTGGTTTCTAGAATGTTCCCCAGAGGCATTCCCCACCAAAAAGGTACTTGACCACCTGTGTCTCCAAAAGAAGTTGGTTGTTCATTTTATAGTGGTCCTAGGTGCTGTGGGCCTGACACAAGTGGCCACCGCAAGAAGCCACATTGAACAGTCTCCTTTAATTCCAAGGAAAAACATCTCCAAGTGGCAGTGGTTTCTGGATGTTCCCCACCAAAAACGTACTTGACAACCTCTGTCTCCAAAAGAAGTTGGTTTTTCATTCTATAGTGGCCCTGGGCGCTGTGGGCCTGGCACAGGTGGGCCACTACAAGAAGCCACCTTGAATAGTTTCATCAATTCCAAGGAAGGGGTCTCCAAGTCACATTGGTTTCTAGAATGTTCACCAGGGCCTTTCCCCACCTGAAAGGTACTTTACCGCCTCTGGCTTGAAGGTTTATATTTTATAGTGGTCCTAAGTGCTGTGGGCCAACGCAAGAAGCCACATTGAACAGTTTCCTTTAATTTGAAGGAAGAAGTCCTCCAAGTGGCAGTGGTTTCTGGAATGTTCCCCAGAGGCATTCCCCACCAAAAGGTACTTGACCACCTCTGTCTCCAAAAGAAGTTGGTTTTTCATTTTATAGTGGTCCTGGGCGCTGTCTGACACAAGTGGCCACCACAAGAAGCCACATTGAACAGTCTCTGTCATTTCCAAGGAAGAAGTTCTCCAAGTGGCAGTGGTTTCTAGAATGTTCCCCAGAAGCATTCCCCAACAGAAACGTACTTGACCAGCTCTGGCTCCCAAAGAAGTTGGTTTTTCTTTTTACAGTGGTCCTAGGTGCTGTGGGCCTGACACAAGTGGCCACCACAAGAAGCCACATTGAACAGTTTCCTTTAAGTCCAAGGAAAAAACATCTCCAAGTGGCAGTGGTTTCTAGAATGTTCCTCAGGGGCTTTCCCCACCAGAAAGGTGCTTGACCAGCTCTGGCTCCAAAAAAGGTTGGCTTTTCATTGTAAAAAGGTTGTATCAGAATCCAACCTACCTCACTGTAAAACATCCATCCACTCTAAAGTAAACTCTCAACCTTCTACTGCTCCAGGTTTTCTCTATAGAATCAAAACCTCTGTCCTCTATAAAATGCCCTCAACGGTCATATATTCTCTATAAAATGAGGGTGGTCAACCTAGTGATCCATCAATATATGATTCTCTCACCTCAGATATCCTCAGAGTGGGTCTTTTTCAGGTAGGTTGACTTTTGATTCTATAGAAAATCTCTATAAAATGCTAGGTCATTTTGGAGCTCGACCTCCCCAGGGGGATATGATGATGATGATGATGATGATGATGATAATTTGTCGATGAGTTGTTTTTGTGACGACAGAAGATGCTCCGGGAGGTTCGGGGGGACTTTTTTTGGGGGAGCTGGGAGCTGGTTTCGTTCGTGTGACCAGTACAGTGGTGCTTCATGCGCACAGGTTCAAACAACCTGATGTCACTGTGCGCCAAACAACTGTCGAAGGACGTGAAAAAACGGCAAACAAACGTGCAATTTTTTCGTTGCATTTCCTATCATTTTTACATTTCTCTTCAAAAGAAGACATGAAACGCCACCCTAAATTTAGGAAAAATAGGTCGGTTTCACCGCGCAACACAGGGTTTTGTAGGGCACACAAACAGGCGCCATGCGTAGATGACACATAATGACATAAAACATGTCTTTTGCAGGGTTTTTGTGGTTTGGGAGTCTTTTTCATGGTTAAAAAGGCACGCAACTACACGTTCTGTTTCCGACCCTGTGTTTTTTTGCATCGATTCTATTACGACGTCGTATATTTTTGTTGGTCCTCCGATATCCGAAACTGGTTTCGTATGGACCTGTATGGTCCCAATCTCGGCCAGGAGAGTGGTTTGCATATAGCTGATTGGCCGACCCTGGTGTTTGTGCCTTGGCGCTGCATATACATATTATATATAAAAATATATGGGCGGGCGTTGATTAGGGGCCCCCTGGGAGAGTGTTCCAAGACCTATTGAACTTAAAGTTGCTAGTCCTAATGTCAGCGCCCCCCATTTACATATATATAAAGAATAATCCGCACATCTTTTTCTGTTCGCTCTGCAGCTAGATTGTCGGAATATAACGCTAGTTGGGAACAAAAAATGATCTCCCAAGAAAAAACGAGTTGATTATCCCCCACCCTTCCCCGGCGTTTCCGGAAAATCATCCCCCCCTGACCAGGTGGGCCACACCCCAAACCCTGGCCAGCCCCCAAGGGGCACCAGCATCTTTTCTCACTTCTTTGCGGGCAACCTTTTTTTTTTAAGATTCACCCTTGAACACTTTTTTTTTCACCCCGCCCTGTTTTTTCCACCCTCCACCGTTCTTTTTCACCCTCTGAACCTTCTTTTTTCACCCTCGAACCTTCTTTTTTCACCCTCTACCCTTTCTGTTTTGACCCTCGACCCTTTCTTTTTCACCCTCCTTCCTTTGCTTGGTGTGTTGGTTGGTTGGCTAGCTTGTTGTAATGCAAACCAAATATCGACAGCCTTTGGGGAAAGCACAGGGTTGTGTGGTTTTGGTCGCTTGGTTTGTTGGTTGCTTGGTGGGCTACCAATGCAAAGCAAGTATCGACAGCATTTGGGGAAAACACAGTTTGGTTGCTACCATTTCTTTTTAATCCCACTTCCTTTGGTTGGTGAGTTGGTTGGTTCGGCCTGCTTGGCTTGTTGGCTGCTTGGATTTGGGGAAAACACATACAGTGATGGATGGATCATGGACAGGGAAAAATGTAACTTTTTGGTGTGTTGGTTGCTGGGTTTGCTTGCCGTTGATTGCTTGCGTGATACAGTGCTTGATGGACATGCAACTTTTTCTGTTTGTGCGCTTGGTTGATGGATGGATGGATGGATGTGATGGACGCTGTGCAAATAAAGGCGGGAGGGGGTGCGGGGGAGGGCGCAGCGCCTTCCCCGCATTGACTGCATTTGGGGAAAGCACACAGTTGCGTGGTTTGGGTTGCTTGGTTTGTTGGTCGCTTGCTTGTCTGATGGGTGGATGGATGGATGGATGGTCTGTAAATAATGGCGGGCGGGGATGGATGCACGCATGGATGCATAAATGGATGGAGTGTAAATAAAGGCGGGAGGGGGTGCGGGGAGGGCGCAGCGCCTCCCCCGCAATGCGAACCAAGTATCGACAGCATCTGGGAAAACACAGGGTTGTGTGGTTTTGGTTGCTGGTTTGTTGGTTGCTTGGTGGGCTACCAATGCTAAGCAAATATCGACAGCATTTGGGGAAAACGTTTGGTTGCTTGGTTTGTTTGTTGCTGGTGGGCTACCCACCGGAGATGACATCGTTCTCTGTGAAGGTTCCAGGGGTTACCTGCTTCACCGGCGGAGGGTTGAAAAGAAAGGGTCGAGAACAATGTGAAGGGTGAAAGAAACATGCTACAGGGTGAAAATGACAGGGTGCAGGGTGAAAATAAAAGGTTTTGGAAGGGTGGAAAAGAAAAGGTTCCAAAGGGTGGGGAAAAAAACAATCTTGAAGGTGAAAAAACAAGGTTTCGAGGGTGGGGCAAAAAGGGATGGTGAAAAAACATTGTTCGAGGGTGAAAAAAAGGGAGCCCCTTCTTTGCTGGTTTGGCTGAGGAATGCTTCTTTCCGTCCGAACTCGTTAAGGGTGGGAGAGGAGGGTCAAGCCAAAACACTACAGAACAGAAGTTTAAGGTCACTTACTCTTTACTCCCGGGGGCGGGAAACCACAGAGCAATCCGCACCTCTTTTTCTGTTCGCTCTGCAGCTAGATTGTCAGAATAAAACAAAAGTTGGGAACAAAAAATGATCTCCCGACGAGTTGATTATCCCCCCCTTCCCGGTCCACAACACGAGGGCCCCAAGGGACACCAGCATTTTTTATCACTTCTTTGCTGGTTTGGCGGGGGAATGCTTCTTTCCACGTCCCCCCAGACCTCGCTTGCGTGAGGTTGGAGTGTTGCTTTGCAACGGCTCAAGTGTTTCAAACTGTCTGGGCTCTGAATTCTGAAAAAAGGTGCGAAAGGGCGCCGCGCGTCTCTCAAGGGGTCCTATACGGCCAAAATGGCTCGGGACTCGTTAAGATACAGGCGTGCCCGTTTTCTGGGCCACGTGGTTCCACCACACCTCAAAGAGTAGGGTGTGAGTTCAAGGGATTCCAGCTGAAGGCTCTCAATGCAAGTTTTAAACCATTTACGCCATTGCGCAGGCGTCGCGCAAAGCTTTTGGCGGGGCGAAGCTAATGTCAGCCAATGCTGCGCATACCGGAAGGCAGTATCATGACCTATCGACGCGCTTTCCTGAACCCCTGCTCGTTTACCAGCTTTGGTGAGGCCTATAGGGCAATGACGGCAGTCCGCAACTTCTTTGGACACCTCCACCGTATTGAAAGAGGCCAGGGCGTCGGCGGCCAGACCGCGCCCCTCCCCCGAGAGCCATAAGTGTTCTGTATATTCCATGACTAAAGGATCTCTAACTCTAGCTCTTCTGGCCTTGCTACCTTCAAAGACGACCTTTGGCGTGGCAAAACTTGGTCTGTACCGACCACCGCGACGGACGATCCGCCGGGTTGAGATCGGTACTCCCCAAAGGCCAACGACGTTATGGGCTAGTAAGAGCGAGTTTATTCAGCGCAAGGTTCTTCTAAGGCGTCTGCTCGAAGTCCTTCCCCTAGTCATACTGCGCAAACAGAAAAGTGAATCCGAGGTGCAAAATACGACAGTCATGGTTCTGCATATGTTCTCATCTCCACCGGAGACAGGCCAAAGACGCTCGCAATTCCAGGTAATTAATGCGCCCACCCCGACCCAACCATTTCCAACTTGAGACGACCTTCCACCTCCACATCTTCGGGTTGATGGTACGTCGCAGCCGTTGATGTCCTTGAAACTCGTCTGGGGCGCTGTTGAGCATCAAGTCTGCCCCCTTGATGGAAACCAACTGCCCTAGTTGATCAGTCAGAGCGTGTTCAGGCCCTTGCATTTGTGTCTGGTCGGGCCGAAGAGGCGGCCTCATCAACCGGGACTGGAAGTAGGGATTGCCTTTCAGGTCTAAACGTCCTAATACTGCCGAAGGAGAAAGGCAGGGCAAAACCCCCAAGGCCCCAGAAGTTGCCCCAACAACCACGCTACCACAGGCACTGACCATCCGTCCAGGCTGAGGCGTTTGTCATTGTATTCGGCCTTCTTCCGCTGTGACTTTGGCATGCGCATCTGGGTGTAGCCCACGGGCAACCCCATCATATACTCCCGTTCATGGATGGAAGGAATCCGATACACCCCTTTGCGGTTCACCAAACAATGCCGAGGAAGATATTGATACATTGATACGGTGGGAATCTATGATCATCCTGCTCCCATCTGGAATGGTTGGCTCATCGCAGGAGTGGAGTCCGGCTGGTCGGTGTCCTTGGCGTTTCCTTGGCCGTGAAGTTGTGAATGTCGGGAAGGCTTGGTTCGGATCCACCTTTGTCCATCCCGCTTCTACGGATAGCTCCGATTGCTGATCCCCGACAAGCGTCATGCGTACGGCCATGGATTGAGACGTCTGTACTGTTTTATCCAGTTCATCAGTTCTGCAAATTAAATGCTTCACTGGTCAATGATTCGCAGTTCCAGCTGAAAAGTGTGGCCCTTCGGTGTGTAAGTCAGTGTGGACAAGGGAGCATTGGGTCGACTTGGAATCTCGGAGCTGGTTCTGGAATCACGGTGCGCACCCTCCCTTTGAAAAGGGCTTCTCTGAGCTCGGTGAAAACTACATTTCTTTGCCCCGTGCGCGGCGCGGGGATTTTAGGGACGACGTTCAAGGGAAATAAGTATTGATCCAGCTCCGACCCTCACCTTTACCTTTCCTGATCATTGTTGGGATCAGGATCTGCGGAGGGTCCCAGAATTGGGGCTTGGGGATGTCAAAACTCGGAGTTTGCTGTGATGAAGTGCGGCTGCAACGTCCAAAGCAGCCAGCACCGCAGCATGAGCAGAAGCCACGGGCGGACCTCCCAAGAAACCTTGTGGCCCATCACCACATGGACGCACGCGGCCGCGCAGGGGAACCGGGTTCGAGCACCTAAAGGCTTAAGTGGGGAGACAGTGAAGTAGCGACAAAAAAAGCGCCGATCACAAAGCAAACACGTGGGGAGACAAGTGGGAGACAAGGCAGTGCCAAAGCCAATCACCCACCCACTCATTGAGAAGTAAGAGCACCTATAGCCTTCAGCTATCTGGGGAACTTACTTTTGCAAAAATGAAGGCTTTACTGTGAACACATGTTCGATTTGTTCTGCAAGAAGGAAGCTTTTGCAAAGATCAAAGATTTACCAAAAGAACATCTTCAACGTTTCGGCATGGCCGCCATGGCCCCTAAAGCTTCTCGCTACGTCCAATGAGCAATGTCTGTAGGCCGTACAAGTAGCCAAAACGTTGCTTGAGTGCAGGAAATATGCAGCAGTTGGTGCTTGAATCATGGGTACCAGGGGGTAGCTATGTTAAAAATATGTATATACACAGTACATACCAGATATCATCATAGACCCAAGCGATGTGCCATCGTGCAGTTGAAGGTAGGACAAAGAAGTGAATGACAATGAGTGATACTTGAACACATGTGTATAGATGTGTATATATATATAGGCAATTCTAGATTCTGAAGGGTTTGTGAATGCCAATGCTTTTCGATACTTTTCAGGATGTGTCGGAGGACTGGCTGAACAGCCCAAGAACAACAAATGGAAAGCATTGGACAGCTACAGCATCTGCTTGCAAGGAAGACTCTAAGCAAAAGGAGAGTTACAAAAGGCTAGGCTAGAAACAAGCCTACCAGAGTTGCAATGAGAACTCGCAACAACAAAGGCCTCGGAATTTGGCGCGGATGCAGCGAGGGTTTCGCATGCCTGAGAGCGGCTTTGCAGCAACAGGACGCTTGACGTTTGGACAAGCAAGGCCTGCGTGAAAATAAAGAAGTCTGAGCTTGAAACCAAATCGAGAGCAGTGTGACCACCATCAGTCTGCTCGTGAACATTGCAGCTGGCTTTCAATAAAACCTCTGCAGAACCATGGGGAAAATGTTAGCCATGCCATGTGTTCCTGTGACCTGGCCTTGACTGTTTCGGCATGTCCCTGGCTGGCAGCAAGATGCAGGGGCAAATAGCCGCAATCCCTTTGCCTTGTTCCTGGCACTTGAATGAATCAAGCAGCAGTCTGCTTACATTGAAATGGTCCACTACATGACATTACAAAGTGGCACAGCGGCGCACCATCTTTGCTGCCCTTCCGCGCAGTGCTAGCCAAATAGCGTGCCAGGCCTGCCCTGACCATTGGTCGAGTACATCAAGCAAACCATGCTGCTGGCTGTGGAACTAAGGCTGGTGCAGCCCTTCTTTTGCTGCCATGCACAAAGTGTAGCCCTCACACCACAAAGTCAATTCCAACCCCTCAATATGTCGCTGTTGATGTGCGGCATCTTTCTGATTTCTAAACCCTGTCAACCACCAGGAATGGGTGACAGTGTAGATACACAATGATACAAAGAGACCAAAATTGAAGTCTACAACAACAGAGTCTTCTGCTTAATGGGCATTACAGTGAGTCCATGCTAGGAATCAACCTGCACTGAATCAATGCTGCAAGCAGGAGCGGATGTCCCAGCTATAAATATACTATACTGTTTTGTATCTCTCCCTCCCGACCTGGTATTTGCACAGCTTGGCGTGCTTCCCTAGCACGCTTTCGCTCACTGCATTTTGGGCAAGGCAGGCATCCAGGACACTGAACCCATCCTCAGCAACAAACTCCTTACTTATCCACATCAGCCGAGGGAAGTTTCAAGAGTCCAAGGGCACTTCTTTGATCGAATTGACGTCAGCCCCCTGCGAAAGAGCTAGATCAGAATGTCATGTGACGGTGTCTTTGCTCTCGCCTGGTCAACCAAGTAGTGCGTAACTTCTTCTCCCACACCTCTCCTGGGCAAAAAGCGCTCGAAGAGTCCAGTCGCTTGCTCTTTGGACATCACTCGGGTGGGGACGCGCTGACTGCAAGATGAAGCAAGTCTCCCAAATCGACCTTACCCTTCTTGACATCCTCTTCCTGTCAAAAAGACCGATTCTGCCCTTGTTTTGGGAAACATGAACACTGCGGTGGCCACCAAGCAATATCTTCTAGCCTGCCGCAGGTGAACGTTGCGCATTAAGAAGAGGCAATTGGAGGAGACAGCAGCACGCACAGAGCGGTACTCCGCCTCCATGTCGATAGCCACACGTGGATCAAGTGTGTCAGCAGCGCTGAATTCATGAACTTGCAGTTTGATTGTAGAACGCCTTTCTCGTTTCTTATTATATATCTAATGGTTGCAAATGTTACTCGTCAAGAACATGCAACCTGGAGCAACCGATGTGCTTGTCACCTCGTACTTCCTGTGTTTGGCTTGTCCGCCACTTGCATTTTTGAGCATTCGCCATGCCGGAGCATTGGATGCTGCAACGCAGCAGTCCTGCAAAGGAAAAGCCGCAAGCAAAATTCAGATGCCCAAATCTGCTGCCAGTGACATACTATGACATTCCATGATATGAGTGGTGGACAAAACTTCTTGGTGTCCTCAATGCCAGAAGTATTTTAGGGTGGCCCCGATCGGTTTCCAGTGTATTGGAATGCAGGCAAGAAGCTACTTTCAATCAAGAAAGGGTATCGGTATAGGGTTGGCCCTTATTGGTTTCGACCAATTCAGACTTAAGGCAGCTCATGAGTAAAGCACATATGTACGGAAGATTTGTCAGATGCTCATATCAACATCCCCAATAAGGTCCAGCGGGGTCATGCCATCATCATTCTCAATATTCCTGCACCAGTCGACTAAAATGAGATTGTGACATAGCGCGACATGGTATTGTTCAACCAAGGACCAAAGTTTGCACCAAAGCACTTGAGTTTCGTAAAGCAAAGCGAGGCAGCGAGGCAAATCTGCACTGTGGGACACAAGCACCCTCACCAAGGCCTGCATTGAGAATTCCAGCACCAACGCCACCAGCACTAGAACTCAGTATATTAAAAAAAGAAACACCACCTCTCTGTCAGGCAGCGTGCAGGCCAAATGCAATGGCCTGAGACACAAAGGATCGTGTTTGTACAGCTACAGCAAAGCAGCAAACAATGTCAAACCAAAACGAATGAAGCCAAAATATCTTTGGATAGTTGTGCTCCGGGCTAAAGGCTGAGGGACAAGTGGCTGCAATTAGTTCTATCGTAGAAAGCCCTCAAAGCCCTGATTCGCAAATGGACATCGAAGTGGATAGAAGCTTATATATTTTAACACTTTGAGGAGAGATCCCAAAGAGAGGCGAGGAAAGCAGGAAAGGATTGTTGGGGTGGGACGCAAGGTGCAGCATCATTCCAAAAGGCTTTGGTACAGCGGCAGGAGCACTGGAGCACAAAGGCAACCAAAGGAAAAACTTCCCCCACACCAGAATTGGGGCAAGGAATTTGGATTTGTCCCAAAGAACACACGTGTGCAAACCAGCGAGGAGAGAATGTGTGGACAACCACTCTAATGGCGGAGGGCGAGAGACAAAACCACCAGTCTGCTCTCATGAAGGTCCCAAATGACCCTGGAATGGCCTGTGACTATATTTGCTGCTCTGCTCTCCAAACTCCAGTCTTTCGAAGATTTAACGGTGGCCGGGAGGCCCTGAATACTGTTCGAATTCTGAAAGCCAGCTTATATCCACTAGTCACCGTTCGCCACAATTGAAGCACTCCAGTGAACGCCCACTCACCGTGTCGTCCGCTCCATCCACGCTTGCCCAGTTGATGCACTCCCTCGCATGAAAATTAACTTAACACTAACACGGCACCCAGCGCCTTTTTGCTCATGTCTGCCATGCACCCCACGCTTGAGCATTGAGAAGCGTCTTCATTTCATGGCTCTCCGGGACACTGGCTGGGAAACTCACAAAAGCAAATTGCCCCTAGTAGCGTCCCTGCTCCTAGTAGCCAGGAGCCCCTGGTAGCGTCCTTGCTCCTAGTAGTAAGGCCAGGAGCCCCTGGTAGCGTCCTTGCTCCTAGTAGTAAGGCCAGGGGGCCCTGGTAGCGTCCAAGGCCAGGAGCCCCTGGTAGCGTCCTTGCTCCTAGCAGTAAGGCCAGGAGCCCCTGGTAGCGTCTTTGCTCCTATGGACTGGGGTACTCTTTTGCGTCAGCGGGAACATTATCAAGTTTCGCCGCCTCACCAGACCCTTCAACCGACGGTGCCTCAGGCCTTTGTGACAGCCTGTGTTTGGGGCAATCAGTATGCTGACCTGGTCCTTCGCTTTTGCGCTTCGCTTAAATGGCCCCCAGCAGACGTTCCGCATACAGATTCTCTGGTCACGGCAGGTATCGCCTGGCATGAACTTGCCATTGCATTCATTGTTAATACTGGCGTTCAGTTTCCCGTCTGGATTGCACCGGATGCACACCAACGTGCTCGCCCTGTGCACTGGCAAGATCCTCGGGTACTCGCTCTTCCCGTCCCTAAACGATCGTTACGGGAACAGGCCGAGGCTTTTCGAACCATTGTCCTCTACCTGCCCCTAGTAGCGTCCTTGCTCCTCGTAGTAAGGCCAGGGGCCCCTGATAGCGTCCTTGCTCATATAGGCCAGGAGCCCCTCATAGCGTCCTTGCTCCTAGTAAGGCCAGGAGCCCCTGGTAGCGTCCTTGCTCCTAGTAGCGATGCCAGGAGCCCCTGGTAGCGTCCTTGCTCCTAGTAGCGATGCCAGGAGCCCCTGGTAGTGTCCTTGCTCCTAGTAGTAAGGCCAGGAGCCCTAGTAGCGTCCTTGCTCCTAGTAAGCATCCTTGCTCCTAGTAAGCATCCTTGCTTCTAGTAGCGAGTAGCGTCCTTGCTCCTAGTAGCCAGGAGCCCCTGGTAGTGTCCTTGCTGCTAGTAGTAGGGCCAGGAGCCCCTGGTAGCGTCCTTGCTCCTAGTAGCGATGCCAGGAGCCCCTGGTAGCGTCCTTGCTCCTAGCAGCGATGCCAGGAGCCCCCAGTAGCGTCCTTGCTCCTAGTAGCGATGCCAGGAGCCCCTAGTAGTGTCCTTGCTTCTAGTAGTAAGGGACAAATGATATAAGGTGAGAGCTACAGTTCCGACCGTTTGTCGTTTGCATCTCCTCTGGCCATGATGTCATACCGGCTTAGTGCAACTGGGTGAGGACGACATGTTGGAAATACACGTGGCTTGTTTTGTGCTTATCATGGCCCCTGTTCTGCCATTTGGATACCCACGTCCACCTGTTGCTAGCCTGCGGCTATTGTAGACGTTCTTCTGCCACATTATGGAGGGTGGAGCAACAAATGCTCAACTCACTTCTCTTTTAGTATGCAGTCTCTGGTCTTCAAATCTCAGCTCAGAACGTGTTGCCATCGACTCCCTGCGGGCTGATTGCCTGCGGATGCATCAAGTTGCAATTTGTTGAACAAATTTCAAAAATTAGAATCAAATGCCGTCTTGCCTCCTCATCCTCCTCTGAATGACATATCAAACAATATCAAGCAGCCAGAAGCAGGGCATACGGTGCCTAAGAACCTCTTTTCACCAACCCAAAACGCTTCTCGTGGCCTTTGCAGCTGCCTCCATCAGGAAGGCAGTGTGAGAGTAGATGCCTCAGATTTAAAAACACAAATGCCGCAGAATGTGGTCGCCGTGGTGCATTCAAGGGCACAGAAGAAGAGAGTTCTAGACGAACTATTGCGACATGCGGCGGATGCACAGTACAACAATAATTACAAATCTGCAGTTGACTCAATAAAAATAAAATTATACCATTCCTATCTAAGCAGGTACCATTGAAGAGAAGTGCAACACAAAAATTGGTTGATTTCCTGTAACTTCCTGCAAACGCCCCAGAAGGAGAGGGCTGTCAGAAGCAGAAACTGTTTGTCCCAGAGCTGTGTTCAGTGACTCAGTGTCCCCTCGGCCTACATGTTTGTATGTTAATCGTGGGTTTCCACATGAAGTGATGGCAGCAAATCACATACAGTACTGGGACTGAGGGTTGAGCGCATCTGCATGAGTAAGGCTCGCAAAAGGAGTACGCTACCTCTTTCAACCGCCTCCATTTTCAACTTGCAACAACGGATTGCAAACCTTTCTCGATTTCCAACCTGGTTTCGGCTTCGGGCCTCCAACAACGTGTCGTTTTTGTAGTGCCGCAAGGGAGCTTCTCTCTGTAGCAACACCTGGCTGAACAAAAGAAACATGTATTGAATCACAAAACAAACTCTACCAAGACCTCAGGCCTAGAACAAAACTACGCTAAAGCAAGCCTGTCTAGACTAGACTGGCTAGGCAAGTGAACATTGGAAAATGTTTGTGTTTATCTTGTGATTGTGTTTCTGCCGGCAAAGCCGTGAAGCCCGGTAGGATGCGCTAGGTAAGGTCAGATATGAAGAAAACCAATGTAGTCAGTAGGTGCAAGTAAACATAAAGTGATTTACGCAAATACGCACCTTTTCTTGATTCACAAAAGGGCTGCAGTAAGTTCAACTATGCATACTGTGATGTCAATCATGCAAAATACACAGATTATGGTTCACATAAAAAATGGTTCGCGCTCCTTCTTGGCACTGTGAAACTCTAAGATGCTTTTTGAGCTCGCTTTGCCACCATAGTCCATTTTCTTCCATTCAACTCTTGTCTCTCTCAGCAGGCTCATTCATTTCTTCCAGGAACTGGGTTCCTGAAGCGTACGTCTGATGGATCAACATCTGGGTTGTCCCTTCTGTGTTCTGCTATTTCAAGTAGCTGTTCATACTTTTCTTGTTTTCGCTCACATCTATCTGCAGAATTTTGGTCTCCGATCCCTAGTAAGTTCCATTGCTGCACGTTCATGTCCTCAATTTTGGCATTCAGTCTACCACACATCTGTATTGCTTGCATCTTTATATACTCTGATCCCGTTGACGCTTCCCTATTTCCTCTTCTGAATGTTCTGTTCAGTGGTCCTTCTGATGGTTTTGCTCCTTCACTCGTTGCCTCTAGCATTACTCTGCGTCCTTCATACCATCCTTCTGTAGCTTGCGCAGCTTACATACTCTTTCTGGCTAAATAGTTTCCTGCGTCATCTCACTCAGAATGCTACAGCTGAGGATAGCTTGTGTTGTTGGTCTCTCTCTCTACAAAGCCTCCATTCAGAACCAATCCACTGTGAATTCTCCTGACATAGTCTTGACGTGTGTCTAACTTGTCTTCAAGTTCTTCTTCTCTCCAAATTCCACCCTTTCTTCAACTTCAAATATTCGCTTCTCAATCCTCTTGACCAGAGTCTCATAGTACTCTGCCAGAAAGCGATTTGTATGGACTTCCTTGGCGTGTAGTGGTTTAAAGTGTTTGTAGGTCTTGAAGAGTACAAATATCACCGCTGCAAAACCGGTAGTGTTGAACACAATGATCATGACAATCCAGAATTTCCATTCTTCATTGGATTTCTTCACTGCGCCTGCACCCAATCCACGCTGGGTGTTATCTCCTTTCAGGAATGCTTCTGTAACCATTGGCTGCAAGTTGCAAGCCCTCCAGCGCCACCATTCTCGCAAGCATCTTGGCAATCTTGTTGTTGACCTTTCCTGCAAAGTTCTTTTTCTCTTCATACACCTTTCTCTCATGCTCTCCTATTCTTGTTTGGTTTTCACTTTGCCAATACCCAATGAGGTTCATCAAGTATCTGAGTCTTTGTCTTCTAAGTGGCTTTGTGTTGAGGTCTGCCATATTGCTATCTGTTGGAACTTGTACCGTCTTGAAGTCTTTCCTGTTTTGAACCCATAGCAACTTTCCATCCAAGTGTCTCACTT